TTTCAGCACCTTGTCCAAGCAAAGGAAGAATGTCATCAGCTGTGTCACTGTGCATGACTCTCCATACTCTGATTCCTCCAGCAACAACAGCCCTTACGCCATGCAGCATCGCGCAGGCCAGAATAACGGGAACACCTACGACACCAAAGGGGTTCCAGAGACTCACTGCAGTGGGAACCCCCGAACGATCATCGTGCCGCCACTGAAAACCCAGGCCAGTGAGGTGTTGGTAGAGTGTGATAGCCTGGCACCAGGTAAATTGCACCTCTTCCGTCAAGAAAATTAGTAAGAAATAAATGATTTATCTTCGAAGAATCTCATTGTTCGGTTTCATTTTGTTTGTTTGTTTGTTTTGTTTTCCAAAGAAACTGTGTTCGTGCCCTTCTCTCAAGTGACACATCTGTTCTTGGGAGCCATATTGCATTGTTTATGTGCCCTGGTACACTCAGGAGTCACGGGGGCAAGTGTCATTCCCAGTTACTTCTGAACAACCCCGAGAACAGAATGCAGCCTTTAGCTCAACGTTTGACATGAAAGGCTCCCAAATGCAAGTGTGAACCTTTGCTCCCTTGCCTTTCCGTAGGTTTACTTTAAAACGGGTAAGAGATTGAAAACACCTGTGCATTTTCATCCAAACTTGTTGATGTTTCTGGGAAGAACATTTCCCAGGATCTTCATTGTGGACTGATGAGGTTTGCTCACCCAGAGCCTCTGCAATGCTAGCTAGTACAATGTGTTGAAAAGGGGCTTATGGTGAAAGTCTGGCCCAAAGCAATTGCCTTTGAGCTACTTGCAGTCCTTTCTTTTGACTCACCACTGGTGAACACAAGGACCCAGAGGGTGAGCTCCCCAGTAGCTCCTTCTCCCTCCCTTCCTACTCACCGTGAGGTCAGCCAAGCCAGGGCTTTTTTGTGCTGTGCACACTATACTTTCCTTCCTCTCCTTGGGATTTGTACCTGCATCATACAGAACATAGCAGAACAGTTTCTCACACCTCTGAAGGGTCTGTAAAGCCTTCTCTGGGCCCAGTTTGGGTCCAGATAGCAGGTCTGCTTGTCTGCCTCTAGGATAACCAGCGGGCCGTGTATTTGAAGCACTGCTGAGATATGCTGTTAATTAAAATAAATAATTTTCTTATCCTGCTTCTGTTGTATGTCTCCTCCCAAAATCCGCTCTGGAGGAGATTCAGTGAGGAAAAGGTAGGGTGAGCAATTAAAAAATGTGATGTAAGCTACAAATGTGTTTCCTTTCCTGGCACAGTCACCACCAGTCACCACTCATCCTCCTACAAGTCCAAGTCCTCCAGCACCGTGACCTCCACCAGCGGTCACTCTTCAGGGAGCTCGTCTGGAGCCGTTGCCTATAGGCAGCAGCGACCAGGAGCACATTTCCAGCAACAGCAGCCTCTTAACCTAAGTCAGGTAAGTCAACTGAGACAAATTCTGGTGCTGCGTCATCTAGCTGTTACCTACCACTCCTCCAGCATGGGCTGTCCTGTTCCAGTCTAATGGTAGTTGGGCCCCATGTTGAGTTTGATCAACTTGTTTCAACTTCACTGCAGAGCTTGATCTTCCAGCTCAGGCAGTAGAGGTGGTGCCGATCCCACACCAAGTAGGCTGGCAATACTCTTACTGTGTGTTTTGAAGCCAAATGATCTAACAATGTGAGTGGGAATAATGTGAGAGAGGAGGTGCAGTGGCTCAGACACAAAGGAGTGGAGCAGGACCATGTAGGAAGGACTGAATTCTCCTTAGCTATAGGTAACCATGAGTAGAGTGTCTTCCAAATGAAGGGAGTGCATCAGCCCAGCAGCAGGATTGTGAGAGAAGTCCCCAGCAGACGTGCCAAGGCAAAGCAGAGCCTCTGTGCATATACATGACCTTATGTAATGAGTTTGTTCCATTCTGTGATAAACCAGGGCTGAGATCTGGGCAAATCTTGTTAGTTGGCAGCATGCCGTTCTCAAGATGTTTTATAGTCTGTCATCAAAACACCAAGGGAGTTCCCTCAGAGCTTCAGTGAATGATGCCCTTCTCACGTACTGCACCTGGGGCCTCTCTCCACCATGACGTGAGGTAGTAAGACAACACAGTTACCAACACTTCAAGAGGAGAAAGTCTGGACTGCTCAGAGAACAGCGCTGGTGTGTATCCAGAGCTGGATATAAGCAGAACTGTTTTTTCTTAAAAAAAATAATTTGGGGGAGAAGAATGTCCCCCTCCCCCTCGAAATGTAGTTGAAATTTAAAAATTTAAACAAACTTGAAATAAAAGTGAGTGAAAATGAAGGAAGTGGGCGAGATGATGTTTCCAAGAGTGGGGGAGGAGTGTGGCTGCCACATTTCAGACCACAGTGACAGCACAGGGAGTGCTTACAAGGAGGATGAGAAGGTTGGGAAGAATAGAAGGAAGAAACCTGGAGCATTGCTCTTCTTGCCTTCTAATTCCTACTTTATTGGTTATTTAATATTCTGACTACAAATGACTGGGAAAACTCTGACATTATTGTGCAGTGCAAAAAAAACCTTAAAAAATCCCTGACAAAGTACATTGCTCCTGTCCCACTGCAAGAAATTGTCTGTGCTTAAGTAATTGTAGCTGATTACATGAGGGTACCAGGCACTTGAAGGATCTGGTTGAGCTGGGGGTTTTATCTTTAAAAAATAAAGTAGTTATTTTACTAACTGAGGAAATGACAACTGCAAAGACCCAAACTGAGCAAAAATAAATTGCCTGTTCCAGGCGTAGTTAGGCAACTTCATTCCCCTGAGCTACCCACAGCACACCACATTTCGTCAGCAGAGAGTTCACTAACAAAAGCTGTGTGTTGTGCGAGCAACTGGACTTGTGAAAGATGTTCTTAGGAGCTGGCCATCCAAGGTTCAGTCTTCATGTTAGCTGTGCTAGCAGGTCATGACTCAAAGTGGGGGACTCTGTTGTCCTTCGGGGGTCATTTTGGTGAGTGTATGAAACTACAGGGTCTCCCCAGGCTTGGGAGGGACCCTCTACCATCCCCTGTTTCCAGGGGAGGACTGTGGTGGTGCTGAGGGTGTCAGGAAGAGCACAAGGGACTTCCCTGAGACCATCCTGGTGTCGTAGGGAGGCTCCCAGGCACCACTGAGGTGGTAAAGAACCGTCTCCTGTCTTGTAACTGCTTATCACTGTTGCTGTCTTTATCCAGGCCCAGCAGCACATCACGACCGATCGCACAGGGAGTCACCGGCGACAGCAAGCCTACATCACTCCAACGATAGCTCAGGCCCCGTATTCTTTCCCGCACAATAGTCCCAGCCACGGTACAGTTCATCCTCACTTGGCCGCGGCTGCTGCTGCTCACCTGCCCACCCAACCCCACCTCTACACATATACCGCCCCTGCCGCCCTGGGCTCTACGGGCACCGTCGCACACCTGGTGGCCTCCCAAGGGTCTGCGCGACACGCCGTGCAGCACACCACCTACCCCGCCAGCATCGTCCACCAGGTCCCGGTCAGCATGGGCCCGCGGGTTCTGCCCTCGCCCACCATCCACCCGAGTCAGTACCAGGCTCAGTTTGCCCATCAGACCTATATCAGTGCTTCTCCAGCCTCCACAGTCTACACTGGATACCCACTGAGCCCCACCAAGGTCAACCAGTACCCTTACATCTAAACACTGGAATAAGGAGCAAGAGACGCACTCATCCCGGGGGAGCGAGGCGGCCGCTTTTGTACTGAAGAACATGACAAACTTAACAATGCAATGGGAGGCTCGCGTGAAACTTGAACGAAGGAGACTTTAAGGAAGAAACGAGAAAGAGGAAGGAAGGGGGAGAACCAATTCTACACTTTTTATTTAAAAAAAAAAAAGAAAATTGAAAAAAAGAACAGAAAAAAAAATAAACCACAAAAACCAACCATTCTGCACCAAACTAGAGAGAGAGAGAGAGAGAGAAGCAGAAGGATGCGCCAGCGGGTCCTGTCTTTTGAAGAACTTCACCAATAGACTTTTAAAGGTTATTTTCATCCAATAGTGAGCTACATTTAGAAATTTGTTGTCCAGAACACCTAAAATGAAATCCGTTAGGTTTTTAATCCAATAGGTATATGGATTAGGGATTTATCCAGCATTTCAAAGGGTTTATGCCCCATCTTTGCAGTGGTCTCTGTATCCCAAAGCATACAGAAGGCTTCAGGGTTTTTTTTCTGGAAATAGAAAGTGGGTAAGAGAGGCTGAGGGAGGAGGAGAAAATGTTGTCCCAGTGCTCTAAATTCGAATCTAGCACTGCTATGCTTAAAAACATGTGAGCAAAACAGGCCATGCAGCACTGGTTGAGAGCAGAAGCAATGGGGATGTTTCTCCCTTTCATTGAACACACTGGATAAATCCCTGAGAAATGCTATTCCTAAATGAGATCTCTAGTAATGTATGTTGGATTTCATTTGTGTTTCCTTTTATTTTATTTGGAAATCTTCCTTTTCAATCCCTAGCCGTTTTAATATAGGAGGAGACATTTTAGCTGCCCCCATCCCCCCAGGTAGAATGTAGCACTATACAGGTCATACACCCTTTTTAATATTTTGTGTTGAACTTCAACGATACCAATAGACTATTCCTCAATGTGATTGCACAACGAAAAGTGATATAACATAGGCATGTAACAAATGTGATTGTCCAGGTATGTGCGTGTGTGTGTGTGTGTGTGCGCGTGTGTGTGTGTGCGTGTGCGTGCAGATGCTGCCTTCTCTCTGTGGTGTGTTCCTCAGCACAGCCATTACAACTGTCACAGTCTTAGTTTTACATCATTCCCTCGTAGTGCCTTACCAAACTACAGACGCGGTTTAAGGGTTTACTTCCACTGGTACTCCTAGAAACTGACTGAGGCTAGTCGGAATTTACTCTCAGCTCTTTTTCTTTTTTTTCTTTTTTTTTTTTTTGGGGGGGGGGGGTTGTTATTGACGATTTTCTTCTTCTGCTGGTGATGTTTTGGGGGTTTTTTTTCCCACATTGTCAATCTTAGCTCACTTGTCAAGGTGTTGGGGAGGCTCGTTGGGGTTGGAAGTGCATCTAGCTGGCTGTTTTGTCGAGCACTGGATGGGCTGGAAGTGACCAGGTTGGTTGTGAGACCCAGGGTGACTCCCAGAGGGTCTGGGGATTTGTTTCTGGACTGATCTGTTTCTATCCTGTTGAAATAGCAGGTTTCCTCCCTGGAAACTGAATTCTCTTTCTGCTGTTTGCTGAAGTTCTTGGTGGAGCAGGAGGACAGCGTCCTCCCAAAGTGGCAGGTTGATCTGGTCGTGTGTTGGAAATGGGAACAAAACTTGAGCCCGTGAAAGGGGGAAACACTAGATATTGCCAGCATCTCTCACTATGTCTGTCGATGGGAGGGGGTCGGAAAAGGGCTGGAATCCCTGAGCAAGCATGAAGAGAATCCAGTTGAGAGAGTCAAACTCAGGTTTCTTAAGTGAAAAAAGTGTTGTAATACATCGGGCCTTACCCACTTTATCGTAGCTGTAACAATGTCCGCTTCCCCTGCTGCCTTCTCACCTACCCCCAAAAGATTGCCTGCAGCAGCAGAGTGACCCTGGAACTGGAAAGCACAGTGGTCCTGTGGGTCCTCCACACGAAGGAATGCTACATGGTCATCTTGTTTTCTGACAGGTTTCTAAAGAGACTCTTTCCTACAATTGGGTTTGGTTCAGAGGGGAGTTTCGCTGGTAATGGCAGTTGCATTGGTGCATCAATATTTGGAAGTGTCTCCAGAGTACCCTTGCGTGTGTTGATGGCCTGGGGAGGAAGGAGAGAAGAGAGTTCGATAGAACGTTTCCATGAAAGCTGAAGTCTACATGGCTGCTTGGTTCCACTCTACATTTCCCTGTAACTAGAGCATGAAGTATTCAGGTATTTCACAAGATGCTGGAAAATACCAGGTTTGTCAGCAGGGTGGTGAGGGACGGGGGTTCCCTGGGTGGCAGTAAGGAAGGAGGTTCTCTAACATGGGAAAAGGTGACAGAAAGACAAGCACAAATATGTTGACTTGAGATAAGTGCTTGGCTGACCTGGGAGAAGGAGGCATCCCATGATGCACAGGCTATTCAACAAGGCTGTTGTCTTCTGGCAAGCCACCAAATAACCTCCCTGGTTGCCAGCTCTGGTTCCTGGGCTACCCTTGCACAGTTTTCTTCTCCTGCCTTTTCTTCATTCCAGTTCAACATACTGTAGATGAGAATGTGATCTCTTAGCAGCCTATGCACCTTACCCCCTCCTTCCTTTGGAAAGACTACACTTTGCCTTTCATCTGAGGCAGGAGAATAAAACCCTGCTCTCTCTGTTGCATTCCTCTCCTCTCCCACCAGTTAGGAAGCGAGAGCGTCATGCTGCTTGTGTCACAAAAAGGAAAGATAATGTTATTTTATTGTATGGTTGTTATGATTATGATTATTTTATTATTATTATATTTTACTCTGGGTTTTAATTGCACACACATTCCTTAATCTTTGTGTTATTTTTTTCTCAAATAATTGTTGTTATTGTTGTTAATTTTATTTCTCTTCATCAGTGGCATCAGAAGGGTTGCTGTGTTTGTGCAAACTGCAGGAGGAAGGGGAAACGAGATTGTCGTGAGGATGAAAACTCTGCCTCTAGCCTAGGGGTAGTGGGGCCCCTCTGTGAGAGCGGTTACAGCCTTGAGGGACAGGAGTTATCCTCTGTGTCACATCTGCGTTTCAGAATAAGTCCAGAAACATTCATTCAGAGGGCAAAACCAAACAGCAGCTAATGTAATGGTCTGTCAGGAGAGCTGGATCAAAGGTAGGTAAGGACCTTGGATCCAGCTCACCACCACTTTGTTTGACAAGAAGTTTATATGAGATCAAGACCTCAAGACCTATTTGTGCTCCAGGCCATGATCACTGGGCCCTTTCGATGAACCCATGGTCATGCTACGTGTTAAGGGTTTGGTTTTGCTAAAGGAGAAAGCAGATAGATGGCTCTCCAGAAACAGGGCTATTGGAGGAGCCGTGGCGCAGGTGTGAGTGCAGCTTTCAGTCCCATCACTGGATAAAGGACACTGGCACATGTGGATGGCGTTAGCTGGGTAAAGCATGGCCACAGACAGGGCAGGGGTCCTTCCTCACCTGCTCTTCTTCTCTCACTGAAGGTTGATCAGGTGTCTACATGGCCAGGATGCTTGTCTTGCATTTTTATTTTTGTCCCTGATGTAGATTTTCCCTTTTATAATTATCTGTTGTGGAATTTTATTAAGATATTCTGGTTGCTAGAGGTTAGGTATTTGTGTTTTCATTTGCATCGCCTGCTCTGTTAGAACAGGGAGAAGCAGTAACTGAATTCAAACTCTGTAAAAAAATGATAGGACTTCAGCAGAGACTTAAAGTTAATCATGCACTTGAGTGCTTTGCTAAAGAACAGACTTAAACCCTTCAAGTTAATTACTTTTTTATGTGCTCCTCTGGCCTAGGACTCATGAAGCGTGGAAGGTTGCAATCTCAATCACAGTAATGTTTTACTTGTATTAATTGTGTTTTCCCTGTGTACCCACCTGACCTGCTCTCCCATGTGGGCTTGAGTCTGATTTTGGCAGGGTGTTTGGCAGCGGAGCTGTTTAGAAAGGCAGGTGCTGGCAGCGAGAAGGAGGGCAGTGCATGTCAGAGGAGCCACCTTGCACATTGTCCATCCTGGAGTCACTGACCTGCCAGCCATAGGTTGTCAGATGGTCACGGTGATGGGACACTGTGATTGCAAGGATGCACAGTACAGCCATCAAATTGCTTTGATGGTGCAATACTGCATGTTTTCTGGTGGGTGTGTGGGAGCTGAGCACCACCTCCCTCACACCTGTATAAAGTCATAGTATGAAAAAAAGTGTGGTATGGTTAATCACAGGGGAAACTCAGTCACATTATCAGAGGATGCAAAAGCTTTGCATGCTGTTGGTGCCACATACATAGTAACAGCCGGCTTGTTTTGCTCACAGAGTCCTTTGGAGAGGAAATGGGATTGGTGCGGTTGGTTTGGGTTGGTGTTCTTCATGTGCATGGGGTAAACAGCATGGAAACTTGAGAGAGGAGGCAAATGTTCAGATACTGGAAGTTTTATGGGTGGCACAGTGAAAAAGCAGTCCTTTTCCCCATCATCTCATCTTGCATTCTTCTCATGTGGGAAACGGAGGAAAGGACAGCCATTGCCTCTCCTCAGTGGTGGATGTTCAGATTCCTAAGAATGTAGGAGGGAGCAGAGAGAGTCACTAACATGAGCAGAATGGAAAACCCTAATGGAAGCACTTCTCACTGCAGATTGGGCCAAATCCAGTTGTGTGAGTGAGCAAATGAAATTGCATCTTCCTTGGCAGAGTTGTACCCGCTTGCACCCAACAAACTGGGCCTTGGCAGGTCTCTTTCTCTCTCTCTCTCTCTCTCTCTCGTAGTTTTGTTGTAATACCTAAAACATTCCAAGAAAGGGACACCTCTGTCTGAGACATTTTTCCTTTTTTATACTTTCAGGTGTATCAAGTGTACTTATGTCTTGTAATTTGGTTTGAAGGCAATTCCATTAGCAAACTTGAAGGGTGATAAACCTTTTCTTTAACCAAAGATACTTTGTTTTTTTTGAAGAGAGAGAGAAAGAGACCCCCACTCACTCCAGAAATGAAATGAAGCCACGAGTCCTGACTGCCAGGCAACAGGGATAAACTGTGAAGCTCCATCTTTCCTTTCTCTTCTTTTTCTTTTTCTCTCTCAAGTTTTTGTTGTCATTTCGAGTAGCTAGCTTGATGAGCAGAGAAATTCACACTAAATATTGCTGCTATCCTAAACTGTAGGGGATGTCAAAAACTTCATTCTTCTCTCATTATTGTTCACATTGATTGAA